AGGACAGGAATTCCAGCCAGATTTCCTTGATTCCAGGACTCATGCTCTTCGCACTGCACCACCATACTTTTAAAGATACGTTAAAATATACAATTATATATTGATAACTATATCCTATTAAAACTGCAGTCAGTTTTTGTAGCATTTAGTCATGATGACAAATGCCTTACTGGCACTAACATGACTGCTTTACAATTACAATTTGTTACTTGCACTTACATAACTGCTTTCAGTTCTTTCCTAATTCTTTCAGATAATCAATCGATGTTATTGATTTATAACACTTTGAAAATGTGGGATGATAATAATCTGTTATTGAAGAGTTCAGCGACGTCTTCAAATTAAACAGCAATTTGTCAAAATCCTAATTGCCCACCAGATTTACAAATGACCTACAAAACTTGCAAATGCTTCCTAAGCGTACACAAATTAGCACGGCTGCTTTATGAGATAGTAAGGTACACTGTGCCTCAAGCACACACAGGGGTAGCATACTGTAGATCCGATTCAACAGCATTCCTAAATATTTAGCTATGATCTGCATTTATATTTCCTGTGTTAACACCTATAAATGAACTGTGCAGAGACGTGGGCAAATAAACATGATAACCATCAAAGATTTTTACTTTAGCAGCACAGTGATGAAGAATGCTAAAGATACACCACTCCAGAACTAAAAGCTCATGTGGCTGGCAGGTGGGAATAGTTAAGTTCTTGTTGAGACATTGCACTTGTAAAGTTCCTTCGGCCTGTACTACAGTCAGCACTTTGCAGAAAGTTCTACATTGACATTGTCCGATGTGGGAACTGTTTCTAAAGTAAGTGAAAATGCCCTGTATACTGCACGTCAGTATGAATTTCAGACTAAATAAATAGAAGACTTTAATATATAAACTACAGAAAACTCTTTCTGCTCCAAACTGTTCTTCCCACAGACTTCACAGACCTCCACCCCTACTCCTTGGTCTCCAGAAGCTAGGAGAAGGGTGGACTTTCCTGTCTCCCAACCCTGGCTAGGATCTCGGGGGAAGGGTGGGGAGGACAGTGGGAACAAAGAGCCAGATATGACTCTCCACCCTTCTATTCACTTTCCCACTCTGGGGTTAAGGTTGTACTGCTTGCTATCAGCATCACAGGAATAAAACAGAGGAGTAACTGCTGGCAGCAGCAGTGAACTTTGATTCTCAACTCCCACATACCCTATGGGCATCTCAGCGGGATGATAATCACAGTAGTGCTACTGTCCTCTTCCAGAATGGAGCGCAAGCCTCTGATGGTATCAAAACTCTTCTGTGGTTCCTTTGAGTCTTGAAAGGATGTAAAACAGCATGCAAAAGATGCTTTTATTTGGATGTATACTCTGGTGAATTCCTGGTCTGTGTGAACTTTTGCCATGTTTCAAAATGCCTTTAACAATGCCTTCTGCCATTTTGGTCTCCAGGGATACTCTGAACACCTTATACTGTAACTCCAATTACACAATGGATTTCTTTTCTGAATGTACACCAAAAATATTTTAACAAATACAGATGTGTAAACATCTAGAAACTACTAAACATAATTTTGCTCAAGCGGACTGACTCCGAAAATTAATTTTCTTTGTATTGTGTGAAAACTAGGACATGGATTTACACTACAACTGTGATTTTTTTTTTTCTTTTATGATTCTTGAATTTGATCAGCTTCAGAGGAATGCAGACTATTTTAAAAACAATACTTTTAGGGGTGCCTGGATGGCTCAGTGGGTTAAGCCTCTGCCTTCGGCTCAGGTCATGATCTCAGGGTCCTGGGATCGAGTCCTGCATGGGGCTTTCTGCTCGGCAAGGAGACTGCTTCCTTCTCTCTCTCTCTCTCTCTGCCTGCCTCTCTGCCTGCTTGTGATCTCTGTCAAATAAATAAATAAAATCTTTAAAATAAATAAATAAAAATAATACTTTTAGAGTTGTTGGGTTTTGTTAAACTTTGGTAAATAAATCTAATTTTTTATTAGAATTCGTAAAATCTCTTAAATTATCTACAGAACCAGACCTTTAATATATCTACTTTCTCCACCAAATGAATGATTTAAGAAAATCTTGTTATTTTATAAAAACAATTCATAAAACTGTTGTAATGTGTGCTTTTAGCAATTCACTAGACAAAACATTTTTAGTACATCTTGACCGTAAGTGGGAAAAAAAAAAAAAGAATTGTCTAACAGTTTCTCTTGTTTATTCCAGTCACATATCACAGAACTCATAGCATTTAGTAATGTGTCAGATTATGGCAATTAGGTCATATGGATAGTTTCATAATATATGAACTACTGTGTACTTTATACTGCTAACAAATATATTCGTTGCACAAGGTATAAACCAGCATAGCCATTGCAAATTCAAAAACTGAAAAAAAATCTCACTAAATTAGTTCAATAAAGAAATCACTGAGCACAAAAAATGGAAACTAAATTACTCTATTTAAAAAATCTATTTTGTCTCTGCACATTTCAAATTAATCATATTTTTAGTAATATTTTTTAGTAATAGGAAACTAATATGATCTCACTAATATGAGATCATATTAGTTTCCTATTACTAAAAAATGTATAAAGTTAACTGATACCATAATGGCAGATGAACTAAAATAACTGACAGGAATCAAGTATTTCTAAACTAATTGTTAAACATAGGATCTTTTACACATATGTACACACAAGAACAAGCAATGTATTTGTATGTGTGAGTGTATATATATGGTCACACAAATATTCACTTTAAAAGCTGATGGCATCACTGAACAACTGAATATGAGAGACTTCTAATAATATTCCTTTTTAAATATCTCATGCTATTTAACAGACAGCATTCCAAAAATATATATATCATCTAATTCATTTTCTACTGCAAATGTGTTCACATGAATCCATTAGAGAAGTATAATAAAAATATGCCTATTACAATGCACCCTGGCATAAAAGATACACTGATAAATTTGTATCGTTGAGGCAAATTTCAAGCTCATCTTTAACTGATAATATATGCACATCAAGGTAAAATAATAATAATACTGCAGCTAATTATAAATTATAATTTAGTTTTACATGGTCAGTCTTCACTCTCTAAATGATTTAAATAAGATTATTTTGACATATATTAGTAACAGTATTAGCTAGCTGTCTAGATACACTTGATTTATCAACCACAGTTTTTTGTCAAATTATCTCTTCACATTAAAAAAATGCATTTTTTAATAAAGTGCTATATCACAATATAAAAAGCAAATTCTTCTTCTTCCTCTTTAATACAACAGTAATGAAGCATATACAACATTGTTGCCTAGCTAGGATAAACTGTTTTTTAAATCCCCATTACATGTTTCTGTGTGTGTATATGTGTGTGTGTTAACTGAATATATGTATTGGGTTCCATCTGCCTTTCTAAAAGTATCAAATGTAGGCATTCATTTTCCATTCAACTGGAAAGATCAAAATGCTTTAGAGATAAGGCAGAAAGTAATGAGGATAATTTTTTGTTGTTTAAATTATGTGGCCCTTTAAATCATATTGCACAAACATAAGTAGAAATAGAAAATTCTGACTACACAAACTGCAGCATATAAATATTTCCACTGGGCAAATTGTCAAGACAAACTGGATAGTATCAGTGAAAATAGGTCTGTACTTTCTTGGCTACACAACTAGAAGGAGAAAATCTTAATACAAGAGACCTCTTCAGATAAAACCCAGTTTCTCAGCCAAAGGTCACCTTCTCTCCCTTCCCCAAAGTCCGTAGTCAGCTAATTTCTTGATTTTAAGAGCTTTTTTTCTGAAACAAAAACACTATTGGCTCTTCTGCATCCTTTACTCTTATCCAAGGTCAAATTATTCAAAATTCAACTCTTTTATTTATTTTTTATTTTTTAAAAGATTTTATTTGTCAGAGAGAGACAGAGAGAGCACAGCAGGGGAGTGTCAGGCAGAGGCAGAAGCAGGCTCCTTGCTGAGCAAGGAGTCAAATGAGGGACTTGATCCCAAGGACCCAGGGATCATGACCTGAGCTGAAGGCAGACGCTTAACAGTCTGAGCCACCAGTGTCCCCAAATTTAACTTTTTTTAATGCACAGAAAATGAATGTATATCTAAAATTTTACTCCAAGTTTAATAGGAAAAAACAATCTCCATCCAGCTATTTTATGTAGATAATCAGAAAGATGGCACTAGTTATTACATAATCTAGAATAAACAGAGTGTTTCCAAGAATGGAGTCTAAGAAACCTTCCAAACTCCTACTTACACCTTTACTAATACACTGGAAATAATTCCACTGTTAAAAGTAATCTAATCATTTTCAGTAACACCAAATAATACTATTGCGACCAGTTAAAATTTCAAAAGCACTTTGGTGGTAAATGGCAGTGACCTAAAATTCCATTACCACAGCCCTAATTTTACTAATTTACATATATTTACTTTGTCAACTCCCTCAACAACATAGCTACAATGCACAATACAGAAAATGACAAGTTCCCACAACAGGAAAAAAAAAAAATCCTTTTTTTTTTTCCTTCATGAAAAAATACATGAACATGAAAAGCATATTAAACTAAGAAATGGTAAACTAAGTAAACCATATTAAATGAAGAAATTCCAAACTCTCCATGTAATATACTAATCCACAAGTTCAAAGATAGTAATATTTCCTCGTCAAAAATGTTCTTTAGCAGAGATTTATCATCTTTTGAAATGTAATACAAAATTAATCCCTTAATAATAACACAACTATCTTCATAGTTTATGGGGAGAGTAATTTATAACACATCTGGAAACTTCAGGTGATGTATTCTTTTACCTTAAGATCTAGTAATTGATATAGATTGGATGTATACTCTAGACAGATATATTATACTCTGGTTAGATACATACTCTAATAAGTGCCACACCAAGGTAAAACAGTAAGCTTGGAAATTTAAAATGTCCAAATATTTCTTCCATGGCTCATATTGGTGTTATATTATAGTCTTACCTCAATGATTTTGTCATGAATCTCCAGGCCATCTGCTCTGTCGGCAGGTCCATTTTCCAAAATTTTTGAAACATAAATTCCTTCTGCTGATGTTTCTTCCTTATTATTCTATCAAAAATAAAACATTAGCAAAAACAAAAAAAAAACATTAACAAAAACAAAACCATTAGCAGTAAGAAAATGTAGACAAAATTTTAGTTGGATAAAGGACAATTTAATAAATGTAACATTGCCAATCCTCCCTAAACATGCAACTCTCTCTCTTAGCTGGGGATTTGGCACTGAATTTTAGCTTACTTAATTTTAACTTACTTAAAATTAACTTACATTAATACCAAATGGTCATTAATCAAGATGGCAGCTTTAATGAATGAGTCCAGCATCTCTGACAAGATTATCCATTTGCTTCACGTTTTTGAGTATACATTAAAAAATTATGAGAAAAGGGTATGTACAAGGTGATAGTGACTGTCTTCAAAGTATTATTAAGCAGCTTACTTCTCAAGAGATGTAGCAATTAAAAAGGGTCACAAGGAAACAAAAAGCATATCCAGCCTCACTATATATTGTGGCCATAGTTTTGAAAATATAATTTAGCCTCAGGATGTGTCAGATCTGGAAATAAAGCTCTGACTATATTTACAGGGAGACTAGGAGCTTACTCAAGTGTAAAATCCCAGAAGATCAACACTAACTGCAAGAGAACCCTTTCAAAGCTAATTGCTACACATTTCCAGGTACAATGAGCCTAATGATTAGTTAAACCTCAACCATATAACCGATATAATATAAATAGGACACTTCGGCCAGTCACAGGAAAACAATTATGTTGCAAAACCTATCTAGGTAAAATGCCCAACATACCATAATAATAATTTTAAATGTCATTTTACTTCATGGCAGTTTAAATAAAATTATTTCCCCTTAATTAGGCTTCCTTAACATGAATTTGAAGAGTCTCTTAAAAATGTCCAGTGTCATCTAAAGGTCAAACACCTAAGTGGTATTTTATAAAAACATTCCTTAAGGGAAAAAAACAAAACAAAAAAGATTATGATGAAAAGACTTCTATCTTTTCATTATAAATGGGGGCTGTTCTAGAAACAGAAGCACATTAGTCATTAGTTGCTAGGTTTTCAAACTACTAAACAGTAGAGGGAAATATGTCATTGCCATCCTGACCTAAACATAGCATATGGCCAACAACTCTAACCCAGTGTCCTTGGGCCACATCTGCAAAGCAGGATGCGAGAATTTCATGGCAGTTTATTAAGAAAATTAAAGAACATGATTTTTTTAAAACTTTACCACCTTTTTCTAGTTATGGTGAAAATTAAGTTGATGTAGTATTTGAAGGATATAAAAGAACTTTGTGACTACAGTGTCTGGTTTAAGTTTATAACTCATGTATTTTGAAAACAACTGGTAGCAATGAAGACAATATTATTCATTCAATTAAATAAAAGATTGGATTGGAGAGCCAATAGTATTTCAAATCAACTATCTTCCTTTAACATGGCATTTCTTATACAACTGTGAAAACAATGATCCCTTATTTCAACTTATTTTAACTGTTCATGCCATCAATCAACATGCATTATAAACTGCCTGGTCTGTGTTAGCCTCTGAAAACTGACAAGTTGACTTAGTAAGTAGAAGGTATATGACTTAGTAAGTAGAAGGTATAATCAGGCAATCCAGTTACCTAATATTATCAAGTAGAAATTGCCTATACACATTATTGTGAAATAGGTTTAAGAAGTTTACCAATGGGGCTATCCAATGTAAATAAAATATGAAACATACTCTCTTTTTTCCCTAAAGTAGCAAAGGGTAGTCTAGTTCATTAGTTGCTGGATTTTTTTGTTTCATTTTGTCAGAAAAATGTAGTTATATACTGGAACATTTGAATTAAGGGATCTGATATTTTATCATAACCATGATTTTAAAGATTAAATCACTTGCTATCCTCATTCAAAATCTACAAATGAACGTGGTTTTCTATTATTTTATAAGCAAAGAATGAATTAGGCATGAATAAGGTAGATCACCTGATTTGGTCGGCCTCCTATAATATTGAATCCCAATGTGTCATTTTCTCTTTCTAACACAATGGTGAATGGCTTATGTTCTCCATCCTAGAAGAAAAGGGATAAAATAACTAGGTAAGAAAGAAAAGGACAGGGAAAAGAAAAGGAAAAAAAGAAAAGAAAAAAGAAAAGCTACCACAAAGCTTTTTAAAAAATAAACTGTCAATAAATTAACATTTGAAAAGAAGAAAACCTTAAAATTAAGGATGGTTGAATTTGGGAGATTCAACCATTAATTTCTTCCTAAATTTACTTTGAAAAAATATTTTTTAAAACAGTGCTTGTGAGAAAAATTATTTTCAAAAACGTCTAAAGGTTTTATGTTTTCACACATCTCTCTATCTTTTATCCTAATACAGCATCTAATTCTGGCTTCACTGTAATTTAAAACAAATTTCTGGTAACCCTACAGGCACCTTTACTTTTTGTTTTTAACAACAGAGAAAAATAAAAATTTCCAGAATTATTTTATGTAAAAATTTCACTTCAGAAAGTCTTGAGGGATTGAAGTAACCGTGAGTTATTGATAAAATTCTTTCAACAGTAATATTTGGATTGTTATTGTAATGCAGGATCTAAATTACAGTAATCCTAATTTTCAATAGTATTCTTATTTTGGTTTTGTATTATTCCCACAGAATTTCATAAAGAAAGGATTTGTGTTAAGTAAAACAGTGTGTATTTCTTCTCCTGGCAGCCAGATAATAGCAAAACAAATAGGAGTTATATCTATAACCTGTTTACTAATGAAGACCAATTTAAATACAAAATGTGCCAGACTAGGTAAGGTTTATTCATTCAAGGTTTATTCTAGGTAAGGCTATGGGTATTATTAAGTGTCCTAGGAAACTTCATTTGGCAATTCATGGTAAAATTCCATAAGCACCATCACCACCTCTTCCCAGGAGCTTTTCCCAAGCAGTGTATGCAGCAGCCCCTACTGGTAGTGGGAAAACATTTCTGAGGAGCACGGAGAAGCCTTCTGACAATCTACAAAACATGGGCAGTTGTTCCTCACTTCTCAGAATCATAGCTTGACTTGTTGCATGGACTTCCCTCATATAATTCCAGTTGCTGCTCCTTTCCATCAATCATGGCTTCCCTACAACCTTGAAACGTGACCTGGTAACGCAGAGCGCATTTCTGCGCTTCTCTCTGGGTCCTCCCATTTTGTAAATATACCTGGCTACAGAGAGAATCAGGGATAGCCTCCAGCCTTTTAATAAGCATTGTGCCTCCCATTAACAAAGTAGAAACATTTTAGCCCCTCACAGTTAAGTTGTCATTTTTTTAGGTTCAAGGAAGAAGCTTCCAAACTGGATCCCTGGGTTGGAGGCAGGGCAAAGCAGTCCCAAACGGGAATCATCGTGTGTTGCTCCTCCCCAGGACGCTGAAGAATGAAAACAGCTCCTTGAATGGAGTGCAAGTTCTGCTAAATCCCTGCTCACCATGGCAGCGACCAACAATGTCAAACACTGCGCAGAAGTCCTCCAGAAGAGAAGTAACAGCTTTATAAACAAGCCTCTTCACAGGGGGTGCTGCAAAGAGGCTTGTTTATTCAGTCTGACAGCGGGCAGTCCACCAGCACAGTTCGGGGCCAGCAGCTTCGACAAAGAAGGGAAACAGCCGCTGCCCACGGGCTCACAGGGCTAGTCTGATCGCAGATGGGATGGATGGGGTTGCTCTCGGATTTGGTTCCCCAAATCACCCCTCCAACACACACACACACACACACACACACTCTACACCAACGAAGAGATCCCGAGGCAGCTAAGGATTCTTTAGGGAAGGTCAGGGTAACGAAATCTCTGCAGGTCTAAGAAATCCCATCTGCTAATCTCCCCCTGGTTTTCCTGGTTTCTCACATCCCTGATAGTCTCTGCACGGAGTAGAAGGTGGCCAATATGGGTAGTTTGGCAGGAAAACTAAGTCATTCAGAGCTAAAGGTGTGATGCTGGGGCAGGAGCAGAGGGGAGGCAGGGTCGGGGAAGTCCCCACTTCCTGGCTTTCCTTTTCTGATTGGCTTTAGGCACCGGCCAAAGGCACCAAAAAAAAAAAAAAAAAAAAAATATATATATATATATATATATATATATATATATACACACACACACACACACACACACACACACATATGGTAGGCTAGGGCAGGAGAGTTAAAAATGGGGAGCAAGGTCGGGGTGGGAAAATGAGTTTTCCTCATTCTTCTTTCTCCACTGAAAAGTTGGAATTGAATTTAATTCGTTCCGATCCTAATGTAAGTGGAAATTTGCAACACTAATGCACCCGAAAAGTACTAACAGTGTATGTCGTTTTGGTCAAGGCGGGTGGACGCCTCCCACCCCACAGTAAGGAAGGGTGTCACCTCTGAAGGAATCCCGAAGTACCAGAAAGAAGCGGTCCTCTCTCCACCCCAGTCGTTCCCCAGGTGCCCGATCCCTCTGCGCTTACCCGACCGTGGCCGCCGCCCAGGTCTCTGGCGAAGTTGCGGACGTGAGCCATGTACTGGGAGAACTTCTCCTGGTACCTGCGGGCCGTGAGCTGCGCCTCGTCCCGCAGCGCCCAGAGCTGCGCCCGCAGCGCCTTCTCGCGCCGACTCCAGGCGAGGACTAGCTGCCGCGGCCCCCGCCCGCTCCCGCCGCAGACGCCCGGCGGCCCCCCGCGCGCGCCCCCGCCCCGGCCGGGCCCCGGCGCCGTTCCGCAGCCCCCCCGCGCGGGGACGTCCACGCCGCGGCGGCCGCCCGGCTCCGAGACGCAGTCCGGCCGGCGGCGGCGGGCAGGGCGGAAGGCGCAGCGCTCGACGTGCGCCGCCAGCTCGTGGAGCCGGACCGAGCGGCCGCAGCCGCGGGCGCGGTAGTCGCACTGGATGCGCAGCTTCTGGATGAGGCCGCGCAGAGGCAGCACCCGGCACAGCTTGCCCGGCGCCAGGGTCTGGCACTGCAGCGGGCACCGGCGCCGCCGCGCCACCCAGGGCAGCAGGCAGCTGGCGCAGAAGACGTGCCCGCACGGCGTGCACAGGGGCTCATCCAGCACCTGGCCGCACAGCTTGCACTTGAAATCCGGGTCCACCGCTTCGGCGAACCGCTCCAGGGCAAAGCCCATAGTCTGGAGGGGGAGAAGGGAGAGCGAATCCGAGTCCGCTTTCTCCAAGCCCCCTGCCTTCCCTGGGCTACCCCTGGGACGGCTTTCCCGCGGCCGTGGCCGTGGCTGTCGGAGGGAAGGAGAAAGGTGGGGGGTGGCGAGCCCAGAGTTTGTTTGGCTTGAAGTTTTCAGGCTCTCGCTGGGTCCCCTGACTCCGCCGTATTGACGCTAATAGACGCCACCTCAAGTGACCCCCGCCCAACATACGCTCACCCCCACCCCCGTCTCATTCGTGGCTCTGCCATTTATATTCTTTCAGATTGTGTCCGCGGAGAGTCGAGACCAGCTTGCCATGGCCCAGGCTTCAGGCAGAGCTGATAATGGGCACAGTGCAGATGTTGAGAAACAACTTTTAATTCCACCAGAATGTAAGCTCAAGGAGAGCAAGATTTTTGTCCGTCGGGTTTCCGCTGAATTCTCATCGCCCCGCATCCAGTGGATCTTCAATAAATGTGTTTGAAATACATGTACTTCCGTTCTCTCAAATCCGCTAACCACAAAATCACCAGCTAAGTGGCTGCGACCTTAGAAAATCACTGAGCCATCTACAGAGCCAGGCTTCCCAATCGCGATCAAGAGATCAGGTGAGTGTAGCCAGGCGGGATGATGACTGACAGCGAAGATGGGGAAAAGGCCAGGTGCTCGCCCTAGGACACCTTCCTCTTAGAACTTGAACCGCCTTTCAAGGTCTCCTACCAGGTGAGGACGCCAGGATTCTGTTACTGGGCAGTCTGACTCCAGGTTCAGTCACCACACCACCCATCTTCTAATTCCACAGGTATTTTGCCACTGGGAATGGGAATGTGATCATTTGGCCACCTGGAAAGGAGAATTAAAGGAAAAGATCATGAACGAAAGGAGCAAAATAACAGTATCTTATTTACCGTGAATATACAGTTTAGATCAAAACTACCCCTTCTTCCATTTGACTCTTTAAGGTATGTAGCATGCCAGACCCTCCAGAAAACATGCAGCAAGGGGTTCCTCCAAGCCCTCCTTCCTCAGCTTCCTTCACCATCTTCAGAAACTTAGGGATGCAAAGAAGCCCTATCACCTGGATGCCCATCACTTACTACCATTATCCTGAAGCTACTTCCATATGGTTAAGCTGGGCTTCCTAAATTAATCATTAATGATTCATTGCTGCCAGCTGAGCATTGTTTCCAGAAAGCTGTGTACTTCTGTACAGCACCAAAGGTATCAGTTAAAAAGCATGAAAAGGGCTCCAGATTTTGTCCTTTATATCCCTGGTGCTAATTGAAGAATTAGCAAAGGCTAGTAATAGAGGCTACTAAGAACCTTCTGAGTCTTCTTTCTAGTTGAAAGATGAGATTTTATTAGAGCAGTTCAATAATGAGTGAGGATCCTGGAGTGGCTTGCCAGATATTTGATATGCTTTTAAATTTGCTTGAAAATAAGATGCCAGGGGCACCTGGGTGGCTCAGTGGGTTGAGCCTCTGCCTTCAGCTCAGGTCATGATCTCAGGGTCCTGGAATCGAGTCCCGTGTGGGGCTCTCTGCTCAGCAGGGAGCCTGCTTCTCCCTCTCTCTCTACCTGCTGCTCTGCCTACTTGTGATCTCTCTCTCTCTCTCTGCCAAATAAATAAATAAAATATTTTTAAAAATAAGATGCCATGTTTCATATTTTATACATGCTGATATGTAATAAAGTAACATTTACCATAATGCTCCAAATTTCCTCCTACCCTTTGGCCTATCTTTTGTCAGGTAAATTCCTGAATAATTAAGAAATCATTTAACGTTAACAGTGTGAACATAGTCTTGTGAATGACATAGACCAGGTGAAGCAGAATGTTATAGAATCTGTTCAAATAATCCTGGACAGCATCGATCTACCTTTTTTTAGTTATTGAAAAAGCTATGACTTATAGCTAGGACTTGACATTTATTGTTTCACAATAAACCTAATGGCAATGAGAACATTTTAAAAAACAAGTAAAGAGATGGAATCTAAAAAATATCCTCTTGAGGTATGAGGAAAAGGAGGCTTGCCATTACTTGAAAAGGAAAAAAAAAATAAAAATAGTTATACAATGTTCTTGGTCCATCCATGCAACTCTCATTGCAAAAGTAAGGAACATGAGCAGATGATGGTATGAGTAATTCCAGAATGCATAACCTTTTGATTGTTACAGGGAAAAGGGATGTCAAAAACCTTGTCCACAGAGAATAACACGTTTAAAAAATGAGAACATGTGAAATGAGGCCAAGTAATGAAGTAGGCCAAAAGGGAACTTAGGAAAATCTTTTACGTGAGAAAATGCAACCTTCAGCACTTCCAAAATAGTGAGGTACCAGGAGAAAAATATTACAGAAATCCAACACTGAGGGAATGGCCATGCCCAGGTGAACCTCATAGACTCTTCCCATCTGAAAATGTTTTGTGTGATAAATCAGGGACAGCTCTTGAGCCAAACCCTATGATTTCAACCTAGATTATAAAAGGTTATTCTATATATTAAGAAAATTGTGATATCTTGGAAAAGTTTGGGTGAGCAAGGAACATGGAGCCTAATTAGATTGAATTCATTAGCTGAGGGGAGGAAAAAAAAGCACGTGAAGTTTAAAATATGCCCAAATATTTCAGCAAAGCAGATCCTTATGTTTTCACTGATGTTAATTTTCTTTTAATCTCTGGCTAGTGAAAGTTGCATGTTGACTAGCAACACAAGGAAAAGCTGAAAGGCAGGCCACTGTCTTCCTTCTTGTTGGGCAAGTCCGACTTCTAGCTGTCCTGCAGGTTGGGGCCAACACCAGCCCTGTCACCTTTGATTCAGACTGGACCTGAGTATATAATTTGCCAACCCACAGACAAGGGAAAGACAATACATAACCTTTACTCATCTCCAGGCCAATGACCATAGCATTACAAAATACTTTTAGTAGTATTTGGTTGGGTAATTTCAGTGCAAAAACTAGTTTTTGCTTCAGAACTCTGTCATATGTTCATGAAAACAGATTAAAAAAAAAAAACTAACTTGCTGTATTCCTTGGGCCAATTCCTAGCAATAATGAAACTAGAATATGCCTGCGGGTGTTTCCAGTGAGAGGAGGCAGCATTCCAACTAGCTCTGAGTCATCCCTACTTCCAAGATGAACAGGGAATCTGAGAGCTACTGATTGTTAAATCAAATGCTAACAGATCTGATATTGAAATGCTATATTCCAAAACTCAGAAATGATGATTGGAGAAGTGAAAAAGGAGAAAGAGATCATTTTTCCCCCACCCCATGCAAAGATAATACTCGCAGCAATTCAAATGTAATTTTTTTCATGTTGTCTAATGCATTTGATTAGGAATCATAAAATCAGGAAGAAATTTAGGGAAAGTTTGAAGAAATTCAAAGAAATTCTTGAATAAATAATTTTTATTTCATACATGTTCATATAGAATAAGTTGGTGCTTTTAACATGACGATAATTTTTAAATCTTCTCTTATAAGAACTTGAAATCTCATCATTTATATATTCTTTTCCATGAATCCCTGGTCATTTATCATGAATTAGTATTATAATCTATAATCATACACATTTTCCAAGGTGACCTAAATTTAAGCTATAGTGAAATAAGATTCCTTTGGTAGAAGAGACAAAAAAAAAATCTAGCTAGTTCACATCAAAATAGTGACTGTGGAATACATTTCTGTGTGTGATTGAAGTTAACATTCATTTTTGTTCTTATCATGATATATTTTTGTGTCATAATCCAAGATCAGAACTGAAACTAGTGGCAAAAATAAATGTGTTCATAAAGCATCAGATAATAACAGGGTCAACTTGAGACTATTTAAAAATTCTGAACATGGTAAAAACAGTAAGAGATGCTGAGTTAACCCTTGAACAACACAGGAGTTAGAGATTCCAACCCCTGTACAGTGAAAATTCACATAACTTTTGACTTTCAAAAACTTAACTACTAACAGCCCACTGTTGGCAGGAAGCCTTACTGATCACATAAATAGTCGATTAACACAGATTTCATATGTGATATTCTTATAATATGTAAGAAAGAGAAAGGAAAATGTTATTAAAATCATAAGGAAGAGAAAATACATTTATAGTCCTGTAAAAAAATCCACATATAAGTGGATCCATGAAGTTCAAACCTGTGTTATTCAAGGGTCAATTGTACTTGAAAGCTTATTAAAACAAGACAACTATTTTTACAAGATAAACTGATAAAATGCCAGGGAAAGACACTTTTGGCTATGAATTTTACTCTTTGGAAAATATACATTTAAACCCAGGGATCATAGAGCAATGTCAATCCTTAATCATCCCTGTCTGTTGACATGTAATCCATTAGGAGTTATTTGCTATTATTTTGCTTTTCAGTGATTTTTGGCAAAATGAAGAGTTGGAAGGGGCAGCATGACCATACCAAATGCTATTTTTTTAAAGATTTTTATTTATCTATTTGACATAGATCACAAGTAGCAGAGAGGCAGGCAGAGAGAGAGACTCGGAGGAAGCAGGCTCCCCGCAGAGCAGAGTCCTATGTGGGGCTCGATCCCAGGACCCTGGGATCATGACCTGAGCAGAAGGCAGAGGCTTTAATTCACTAAGCCACCCAGGTACCCCCCCAAATGCTATTTTTAAGAGGAATGAAATGATGTGAACAAAACTATGATGTACACCAATATACAGTAAGTGATTTACAGTAATTATACAGTCTCTGTGGGGGTGAATTATCAGACAAAGCACAAGGAAGTCCCTGAAGAAAACCAAGTTAAAGTGAGATATTAAATTAAAAATTGTGGCAACCTGGGGTGCCTGGGTGGCTCAGTGGGTTGGGGCCTCTGCCTTCGGCTCGGGTCATGATTCCGGGGTCCTGGGATCGAGCCCTGCATCGGGCTCTCTGCTCAGCAGGAGCCTGCTTCCCCCCACCAACCCCCCACCCCCGCCTGCCTCTCTGCCTCCTTGTGATCTCTGTCTGTCGAA